CATGAGGCCTGAGTTGCCCATCATGAACTGGGTGTTGTCTGACCCACAGAGTCATAAAGTTGGACGTGCACCCCAGTAGTCCGTCATTAAATGGAAGTGGCATATAAGAGATCAGGCTTGAGCAGGACCTGAACGCACAAATAACTTGTGTGGCCCAAATGTCTATGGTCTCCACTTCAGTCACATTACTTTCCCCAGTGTGCACCTATGGCCTCATGGGGAGTTCATTATGATCAGTTGACTGAGGAAGAGAAAACTCGTGCCTGGTTTATAGATGGTTCTGCACGATATGGAGGCACCACTCAAAAGTGGACAGCAGTGGCACTGCAGCCCCTTTCTGGCACTTCCTTGAAGGATAGTGGTGAAGGGAAATCCTCCCAATGGGCAGAACTTTGAGCCATGCATATGGCTGTTCACTTTGCATGGAACAAGAAATGCCAGATGTATGATTGTATACAGAAGAGTTGATGCTTTTGAGTTGTTGTGTTGGGGAAGAATGCTGAAAGTACCATGGACTCCCAGAAGAACTAACAAATCTGTCCTGGAAGAAGTGCAGCTAGAATGCTCCTTGGAAGTGAGAATAGCTGGACTTTGTTTGACCTACTTTGGTCATGTTATCAGAAGGATATCATGCTTGGTAAAATGGAGGGTCAACAAAAAAGGGGAAGACCTCAACAAGATGAATTGACACAGTGGCTGTAACGATGGACTAAGGTATAGCAAGGATTGTGAGGCTGCAACAGGACTGGGCAATGTTTTATTCTGTTGTACATAGGGTAGCTATGCATCACAGCTGACTTGATGGCACCTAACAACAACAACAGCAGTACTGCTCTAACAGAAAGTATACCACACGTGAGTGGTCTTAACAAACAGATGTATTTTCTTACAGTTTGTTGTTGTTGTTGTTATGTGCCGTCGAGTCGGCCCTGACTCATAGCGACCCCTCCTTGGGTTTCCAAGGCAGTATATAGTGGCTAAGGCACTTGACTGCTAACCAGAAGGCTGGCGGTTCAAACCCACCAGCCACTCCTCGGAAGGAAGGTTGGGCAATCCTACTTCC